CTGAGCGATTCGGCCCCGTGGTGGCGCCGTAAAGGGGCGATTTTGTGCACTTGAGGCCCTGGGCTTCTCGCACGCACTTCCACCGGCCATGTAGGAGAGACTAGTGCGAACCCGTGGATTACATCCACGGTGTGCTAAGCCTGGGATTCGTACACCGTGGGTGAACAGCTCGTCGAAGTTGAACAGCTCGGGCGTCCCTGGGGACGTATCGGGGGCATGTTGCGCCCTCTTGCGAGCCTGTCTGGAGCGTCTTGAAGGCCTCTTCAGATTTTGGGCGCCAGCCTCGGAGGAGCCCGAAAGGCTCCTAGTGCGGCCCGAAAAAGCCCAAGCAGGGACCAACAGGTGCCCCGTCCCTCCAGGGGGCACCTGACGGATGCTACAGCATGGGCGATGGTCTGAGGGCTTCCTGATCCGGGGCTGCAGGGGGGTCCACGATCCGCAGGTTCTCGAGCGGGTCTGGGGCAGGCCGGCATGATCCTAGAGGGCCTCGTGTGGGGTCTGGGGCTTGTTCTGGGGCTTCCGGGCCTGGGGAATGTCCCCCCTGTCACCCCCGCCCGGGTGCCTGGGGTGGAGGTCTGAGGGCTCTCCGAGGAGGAGGAGGAGGAGGAGGAGGAGGAGGAGGAGGAGGAGGAGGAGGAGGAGGAGGAGGAGGAGGAGGAGGAGGGAGGGAGGGGGAGGAGGAGGAGGGAGGAGGGAGGAGGGAGGAGGAGGGAGGAGGGAGGAGGGAGGAGGAGGGAGGAGGAGGAGGGAGGAGGAGGAGGGAGGAGGGAGGAGGGAGGAGGGAGGAGGGAGGAGGGAGGAGGGAGTGAGGAGGAGGGAGGAGAGGGAGGAGGGAGGAGGGAGGAGGGAGGAGGGAGGAGGAGAGGAGGGAGGAGGGAGGAGGAGGAGGGAGGAGGGAGGAGGGAGGAGGAGGGAGGAGAGGAGGAGGAGGAGGGAGGAGGAGAGGAGGGAGGAGGGAGGAGGAGGAGGAGGAGGGAGGAGGGAGGAGGGAGGAGGGAGGAGGGAGGAGGGAGGGAGGAGAGAGGAGGGAGGAGGGAGGAGGGAGGAGGGAGGAGGGAGGAGGGAGGAGAGGGAGGAGGAGGAGGGAGGAGGAGGAGGAGGAGGAGGGGAGGAGGAGGAGGAGGAGGAGGAGGAGGAGGAGTGAGGAGGAGGAGGAGGAGGAGGAGGAGGAGGGAGGAGGAGGAGGAGGAGGAGGAGGAGGAGGAGGAGGAGGAGGAGGAGGAGGAGGAGGAGGAGGAGGAGGAGGAGGAGGAGGAGGAGGAGGAGGAGGAGGAGGAGGAGGAAGGAGGAGGAGGAGGAGAGGAGGAGGAGGAGGAGGAGGAGGAGGAGGAGGAGGAGGAGGCTCTGGGGCTGGGCGCCCCGGAGACTCGAACGGGCGTGGATCCCGCCGTGCAGGACCCTCCCGCATTGGGCATCGCGGGCGCTCGGCCATCCCGGGCGTGCGCTCTCTCTGCAGGCTGGTCCGAGGGAGCTGCGCAGCTGCGTGGCGGCATAGTGCTGTGAGAAGGCTTGGTGTCACTAAGGTTTTGGCACCATTTTGGCCTCCTGGGGGGCGAGCTGATCGGGGCCCCCTTCGCCCCTGATCAATCTCACCCAAGATGGCCCACATGTAATCTCCAAGGCTCCCAAGGGCGGCACCGAGAGGTGTCCAGGATGCCCCGAGAAGCCCCCGAGAGGCCACCAGGATGCCGCCACGAGGCTCCCAAGAGGCCCCCCAGAGGCGAGGCGGGGAGGGGAAGCGCACAGGCTGGGAAGACATGCGATCTGCTCTGTCATGTTGTGCTCTGATGTGTTAGGTCATGTTCTGGTCTGTGATGCTCATGCTCTGTTCTGTCAGGTGGTATGCTGTGTTCTGTAATGCCGAGCGTTGTTATGGTCTGTTCTGTCATGCTCTGGTCTGACATGCTATGTTCTGTGATGCTGTGCTCTGTTCTGTGATATATGTGCTGGTCGTGGGGGTCCTCTCGGGGGTCGTTTTGGAGGCAGTTTGGAAGCCTTTTGGGGAGCGTTTTGGGGCCTTTTGGGGCCTCTTCTGGGCCTCTTGGGGCCCCTTGGGGGCGTCTGGGGGGCCTCTTGGGGCCTCCTCGGCGCCTTTTGGGCCCTTCTGCGTGCCTCTCGGGGCGAAAGGCTTGGATTATCGGTTCGTGTTCCCTCCCATAGCCCCCTTTTGGGGCCGTCTTGGGGATCTCTTGGGCCGTCTTGGGGCCCTCTTGGGCTGTTTGGGGGCCCTCTTGGGCCGTCTTGGGGGCCTCGAGGGCCGTCTGGGAGCGTCGGGAAGCCGAGAAGTCGAGAACGCCCAAACCCTTCAAAAACCTTAGGAAAATCAATCATTTGGGCCTCTCGGGGCCCCTTTGGAGGTCTTTGGGGCGTCTTGGAGACCTCTGGGGCCGTCTTGGGCCCAGCTTGGGCGTCCTGGGCCGACCATTGAGCGTCTCGGGGCCCTCTTGGGCCGTCTTGGGGGCACCTTGGGGCCCTCTTGGCCCGTCTGGGGGTCTCCCTGAGCGGCCTGGGGACTCCTGGGAACGGCCCGGGGCGGGCCGGGGCCGCCGCAGATTTTCCTACTCGCCCGCGCCGCGACCAGAACTGCAGCACAGACTGTAGGGCTGACCCGCGGACCGCGTCCACGACTTCTGCTCGAGGTGGCGAGCAGTGTCTCGGCAAGCGTACTTCCACCTGCCCGGTGCCTTTCGCTGCCGTTCTGCCGTTGCTGAGTGCTGCTTGTTGCCGCCTGCGGCCTTTCGGTTGGTTTCTCTCCCGCTGCCGCCTGCGGCAATGGCTTGCTGCGGGCTGGTGCACGTGCTGGCTTTTGCCTGGTGGTGGATGTTGCCGCCTGCCTGCTCCTGCTTGCTGCAGGATGCTGCTTGGTACTGGTGATGTCGACTCGTGCTGCTGCTGAAGCTGCTGCTCGCCGTTGCTTCTGTTCCCTGCTGCTGGATCCTTCTCCTCTTTCGCCGTCCCTCCACCCTTCTCCCTCTCGATGTTCCAACGTGCCAATCGTCGTTTCTACGACGACGCTTCCAAGAGCACAAGCATCCAGGGCCTCTGGGGGCTTCCGTTTGCCTCTTGAGGGTCTCTTGGGCTGTCCCGACGCTGTTTCGGGCGCCTCTCGGTCATTCTGAGGGCCGTCTTGAGCTCTTGGGCCGTCTGGGCGTCGCTGGGGCCGTCCTGGGGCCGGCTTGAAACCGTCTTGGAAACCTCTTCTGGGGCATCTTGGGGCAATCTTAAAGGGTTGCAAAGTGTTGAGGGCTGACCCGTAGGTTCTGCCCCCGCGCGTGATTTGTTGAGCCTGCACCGTCTTGCCGCTTGCGTGATACTTGCTTGATGCTTGCTTGCTGGTCCTGCGAGCTGCTCCTGTTTGCCCGGGCCCTCGGAGCGCGGAAAACAACTCCCTCGGGCGTGCGATGAGCCTCTCGCCTCTCGTCCACTGTCCGTGTCTTGATAGCAGCTTTGGAGCCTCTTCTGGGGGGCCTCCTGGCAGTTGAGGAGGAGGAGGAGGAGGAGGAGGAGGAGGAGGAGGAGGAGGAGAAGGAGGAGGAGGAGGAGGAGGATGAGGAGGAGGAGGAGGAGGAGGAGGGGGGAGTGAGGGGGAGGAGGAGGAGGGGGAGGGGAGGGGGGGGAGGAGGAGGGGAGGAGGAGGAGGGAGGAGGAGGAGGAGGAGGAGGAGGAGGAGGAGGAGGAGGAGGAGGAGGAGGAGGAGGAGTTGGGAGGAGGCGGAGGAGGAGGAGGAGGTGGTGGAGGAGGAGGAGGAGGAGGAGGAGGAGAAGGAGGAGGAGTAGGAGGAGGAGGAGGAGGAGGAGGGGAGGAGCTGCGGAGGAGGGGTCGGGGGGCGCCTCTCGGGGAGTCTCCTCGGCCTCCCGGGGGGCCTTCGAGGCCGCCCTGGGCGCCTCCGGGGCCGTCTTGGGCGGGTGGCTCTTGCGCGCCGTGGGGCCTCTCGAGCCATCTTGGGCGCCTCCCGGGCCAAGCAGAGACGATGACGTGCTCCTCCTCCTACTCCCCCCCTCCTCCTCCTCCTCCTCTCCTCCTCTCCTCCTCCTCTCTCCTCCTCCTCCTCCTCTCCTCCTCCTCCTCCCCCCACCCCCCTCCCCCTCCCTCCCCCTCCTCCGCCCTCCTCCTCCCTCCTCCCCTCCGCTCCTCTCCTCTCCTCCTCCTCCTCCTCGCCTCCTCCTCCTCCTCCCTCCCCCTCCTCCTCTCCTCCTTATACTACTCTTCCTCCCCTCCCCCCCCCCACCCCCTCCCCTCCTCCTCCTCCTCCCCCCCCTCTCCTCCTCCTCCTCATCCTCCTCCTCCTCCTCCTCCTCCTCCTCATCCTCCCCTCCTCCCCTCCTCTCCTCCTCCTCCTCCTCCTCCTCCTCCAAATGGGGTCCGAGCAGATGGGTCGAAGATCGCGCCGCAATCGCCGATGCATCGCCGATGTTATCGGCGATGCATCGGCGATGCGGCGCGATCCTTCGGCGTGGCGAAACACGGGCTCCACATCTACCCGAATCCTCGATGCGTCGGCGATGCGGCGCAATCTCCAGACCTCATCTACTCGGACCCCATCTAGGAGGAGGCCTAGCTTGGGCCGTCTTGGGCTCCTCCAGGAGCCGTCTTGGAGCCCTCCTGAGCCGTCTCGGGGCCCTTGCCGGAGCTCTTGGGCGGCCTGGGAGCGTTCGGGGGGGCCCCAAGAGCAGTATTGGGCCGCTCATGGTTCGAAATCGCGAGAACCTGAAAATCAGGTGAAATCCGTAAAACAACTCAATGATTTTTGGCCGCCGCAAGCCGTGTGGGCAGCCTCTGCGGCCGTCCTGGGGCCACGTTGGGGCTCTTGGCCCGATCTCGGCGATCCCTGAAGGCGTGCCGAAACGTGCTCGAGCCGCCTGGAGGCACGCCGGGCCGCGCCAGGGGCGCCAGGGGCCCGCCGAGGCCGCGCCAAGGGCCGGCCGAGGCCGATTTTTGACACTTGGATCCGTTTCCCTTCCCGTACGCGCTTCCCCCGGCCATGTAGGAGAGATGGTGTCGGGCTTCAGCTTCGCCTCCCGCATCTCGCTCAGCAGCGCCAGCGCCCGCTGCCACTGCTCGCCTTTCTCGCACGCGCTGACCCCAGCGCTGTAGCTGATGGCGTCGGGCTCCAGCTTCACTTCCGACATCTCGCTCAGCAGCGCCAACGCCTGCTGCCACTGCTCGCCCCTCTCGCACGCGCTGATCCCAGCGCTGTAGCTGACTAGGGCTGACCCGTGGACTCCGTCCACGACATCTTTCTGGAATGGTTCTCGGAGGAACGGCGGAGATTCTGCCGAAAAGCTATAACCACAGCGGCGGCCAGGGCGGCGGCAGCGAGACCGCGCCTTCGTGTCCGAGCTCTAGCAGCGCTCCAGCAGTTTGGCCGTCGCGGGGCCGCCGTCGTCGCCGTCATCCTCGGCGTCGTTGTCGTCGCCGCCGCGAGGCCGCCGTCGTACCCGTCGTAGTCGACGTCATTGTCGTGGTTGTGGTGGTGGTCGTCGTCGTGGGTTGTGGGCACCGGAAGGAGGCTGCCGACGTCGGTAGGACTGGCTCGTGAACTCCGTCCACGAAATCTGAACGAACTGACACCTGATTGTGGGCCCCGACCTCGCGTTCCGCGCATGCTACTGCGTGCTGCTGCTTGCTGCCGCTTGTGTGTACTCTTGGTAATGCTCGAGACCGCTGCTGCGTGTTCTTGCTGCCAATGGCTGTAAGTTGTTGCTGATGGCCAATTCCGCTTGGTGTGTGCTTCTACCCGCTGCCTGCCGCTGCTTGCTGCTGCTGTGCGCTGCTGCTGTCTGCTTCGTGCCCACGGGAGAGATCGATGCTGCCCCAGGGCACTCGAAATGTCGCACGGTGGATTGTGCATGGGGGCTCACTGTGTACGCGCAGGGAGGTACGTCTTTTTGAGCGCCGTCTCCGCGCCCCTCTGGGATCAGGCTGTGTTGGGGGCTGCGCTCCCTGGAGGCCTCTGGTTTTCTCGCCTCACTTGGGCGGCAGCGGCGAAGGGTGCCCTGGAGCTGGAAGGCAACAGCAAAGGGAAGTAGCGCCCATGTTGTTGTGCATTCTTCGGTGCTCTTTCGCTGCGCCCGCGCCCACAGAGGAGGGCAGCGCTCCCTATGCGGCCACTGATGGCGGGCGCTTCCCTCTCCTTGCGAACCGTTTGGGGGCCTCTCGGGGTGTCTCTTCGGCCTCCCCCGGGCCCTTTGGGACCCCCTTGGACCGTCTTGCGGCCTTCTGGGGGCCTCTTGGGGCCCTTTTTTGGTCCGTCTTGGGTGCCCCTTGGGCCGTCTCGAGGTCATCTGCGGCCGTCTTGGGCGCCTCTGGGGCTGGCTTGGGGCGGTCTTGGGGTCGTCTTGGGCCGTCTTTGGCTGCTCTTGGGGCTGCCTTCGGTGACTCCTGCGCCTCAGGAACAGTCCTGGGACAATCTTGGGCCTTCCCGGGGCCGTCTTGGGCCGTCTTGGGGCCCTCATGGGGCGCTTCTGAGGCGTCCTGGGGCCATCTTTGGGGCGTGAATTGTCCTCTTGGACGCCTTGAAAACGAAATGCACAGGAGTTGCGAACATGTGCGTTTTCCCCAGAGGTTTGGGGACGATTTTTGCTTTTGCGAGCTCTCACGGGCTCTTTCTGGGAGCCCACTTGGAGCGTTTGGGGGGCCTCGTGGGCCGTCTGGATCAGGGGAGCGCAGACATGGATTAGCGATCCATGGGTTTGGCGCGCGGTCGCCAAATCCATGGATCGGGAGAAGTGCCCTCCCCGAAATGCGGCCGGTGCCGCCTCGTTCGGCGGCGGAAATCTGCGATCTCCCACGGAAACGGGACCTGTCGCTAATCCACGCCCCCTTGATCCATGTTTGCGATCGCCTGAGGGACTAGGGCGAACCCGTGGACTTTGTCCACGACCAGCAGGTCCCCCTTGCGCGCCTCCGCGTTGGGCCCCCGCCCTGGAAAAAAAGCACCCCGAAGCCTTCGGTGACTTTTTCGGGCTGACTTTCCGAAGTTGGAAGGCGGGCGCTTCCTCCTTTTCGCCTGCCTTCCGCTCCACGTCCGCCTGGACAGCTTTCGGAGCGTCACAGACGGCTATGGTGGGTCTGCGGTGTGCCTCTCGCCGCTTGTCTGCTCCCCCTGGCTTGAACAATTTTGATAGCACCTGGGGCCTAGAGATAAGTAACCCTGAGGGCTCTGGTGACTTTTTTCTGATTGCCCTTTCGAAGCCTGATGGCGGGCGCTGCCTTCTCCTTGGGAACTGTTTGGGAGCCTCGGGGTTTCGGCCTCCTGGGGGACTCTTTTGGGGGCCTCCTGGGCCGTCTTGCGGCCTCCTGGGGTCCTCTTGGGGCCCTCTTGGGTGCCCCTTGGGGCCGCCTTGGGCGCCTGTGGGGCCGTCGTGGGAGCGGCTGTGGGGCCGTCTTGGGACCGTCTGGAGGCCCTCGTGGGCCAAGTTTGGCCGCTCTTGGGGCTGTCTTGACTGCTTCTTGTGCTGCAGTGGGCGCCACAGGGGCCGTCCTGAGGATGTCTGGGGCCGTCTTGGGGGCCCCCTGAGGCGTCTGGGGGCGATCTTGGGGGTCTGTACTGCCGTCTTGGACGCCCTGAAACGAACAGAACGGTAATTGCGACAATGTACGTTTCCCCTCGGAATTGGGACGATTTTCGCTTGTGTGGGCTCTGTCGGGCGTCTTCTGGGAGCCCACTTGGAGCGTTTTGGGGCTCTCTTGGGCCGTCTGGAGGCTATCTTGAGCGTCTTCGAACACTCTTGGACCATCTCGGAGGCCCTCTTGGACCGTCCTGGGACGTCTTGGGGCTCTGTTGGAGGCCTCCTGGAGCGTCTCGGAGCGCTCTTGGGCCATCTTGGAAGCGCACCGGGGCCTGCTGGGCCTCGCAGGGGCCGCCGGGGCGCCGAAAAGGGCTGTCGGACCCCCGCCCTTCTCGCATGCACTGGCCACTACCATGTAATAGAGACTAGGGCTGACCCGCGGCTGTTCAGCTGCGGAATCTGCCCGCCATGGTGCGGGCTCCGCACCGGGGCCGCTCAGGCGCCCGGCGCACGGGAGGATCACCGACAGGACGCTGGAGTAACTGTCCGTTTGATTTACTTGGGCTGCGCGTTTGGAGCCGTCTCGGGGCATGCTCGCGACATCTCTGTGGCATTTATCGGGTTTTGGGCCATTTTGGGCGCCCCTTCGTCCTCCCCTGGACCCTTCATCGGGCCGACCCCCGTTAGGAGCCGTCTCGGTATGTCTGGACCCTCCAGGGGCCTCCTTCGGGTCATGTTCGTGACATATCGGTGGGTCCTGTCGGCTTGTGGGGCAATTGTGGGCGTCCTCCTCCTCCTCGATCTTTCATCCCGTCGATCTTCGATCGTTAGTCGTCGACGCTCCCCAACAGACAAGAACCGAACGCCTCTTGGGGGCTGTTTGGGGGCCCCCCTTCGTTCTCCAGGGGGTCTCTCGGGGCCCTCTTGGGCCGTCTGGGGTGCCTCTGGGGGCGTCTTGGGGTGATGTGGGTCCACGGGGCCGTCTTGGGGCCATCTTGGGCGTCTCGGGCGCCTCTGGAGCCGTTCCAGGGCCGTCTTGGGCCGTTTTGGGACCCTCCTGGGTGCGTCTTGGGGCGATCTTGGGGGCCTGTACAGCCGCCTTGGAGACTGTGCAGACGAACAGAAGAACGGACATAGGACAAATTTGCATTTCCCGGAGGGAATGGGGCGATTTTTGCCTCGTGGTGCTCTCCTGGGGGTCCTCCTGTGCCGTCTCGGGAGCCTCCTGGCCTGACCATCCTGGGGCTGGCTTGGGGTCCTCTCGGGGTGACCGGGCGCCCTCTTGAGTGTCTCTGAACTGTCTTGGGGCCGTCTTGGGGCATCTTGGGGCCCGCTGGGGGGACTCGCAGGGGGCCCCGGCGGGCCTGGGAGCCCTGTTGGGACAGAAGACCTTCTCGCACGCAAAGGGCTGACCATCGGCCTGCCGGCTGCGGACTCTGCCTGCCAATGCGTGGAAATGTAAATGGAGCGTCTCGGTATGTCTGGACCCTCCAGGGGCCTCCTGCGGGTCAGGCTCGGGACATATTGGTGGGTCCTGTCGGCTTGTGGGGCAATTGTGGGCGTCCTCCTCCTCGTCCCTCGATCCTTCATCCCGTCGATCTTCGATCGTCAGTCGTCGACGCTCCCCAAGAGAGAAGCATCGAAGGCCTCTTGGGGGCTTTTTGGGGGCTTCTTTTCGTCCTGTTGGGGCTATCCTGGGCGTCTTAGAGCGATCCTTGGGGTCCCTCCGAAAGCTCGATTTTTCAGTTCGCGGTCCCCCTCGTGGGCCCCTTCTGGGACCGTCTTGGGGCCCTCTTGGGCCCTCTTGGGCGCCTCTTGGGCCCTCTTGGGCGCCTCTTGGGCCGTCTTGGGGCCCTCTTGGGCCGTCTCGGGGGACCTCTTGGGCCGTCTTGGAGCGTCGGAAAGCCAAAGAAGCGAGAACGCCAAAAACCTTCAACACCTAAAGCGAATCAATGATTTTGGCCTCTTGGGGCCTTCTTGAGAGGCCTCTTGGGCCTCTTGGGGCGTCTTGGGGCCTCTTGGACCATCTTGGGGCCATCTTGGAGCGATCCTTCAGGTCCCTCTGAAACAATTTTGGCGCACTCTGGGGCTCAATGGGACCTCTTGGAGGCTCCCTGGAGGCTACCGCGGGCTCTGCCGGGGCTGTCTGGGGCCGCCCCCACGGGTGACTCCGCCGAGGTGCCGCCCCCCAAGGCCCCGCGAGGGTGGCCAGCATGGCCGCACCGGCACGCGGGATGCCCGGTGGTGCAGGTTAGATGACGTTGGGCTCCAGCTTCGCCGCCCGCAGCTCACTGAGCACCGACAGCGCGTGTTGCCACTGCCCGCCTTTTCTGCATGCGCTGATCCCAGCGCTGTAGCTGATGACGTCGGGCTCCAGCTTCGCCTCCCGCATCTCGCTCAGCAGCGCCAGGGCCCGCAGCCACTGCTCGCCCTTCTCGCACGCGCTGATCCCAGCATTGTAGCTGAACTAGTGTGCACCCGTGAATTAAATCCACGGTGCGCTGAACCTGGGACGTGCACGCCGCGCGTGTGAGCTGGCGAAAGCGTACCAGAACAGCTTGTCTGAGTCGAACAGCTTCCCGAAACGCTCTCCCAGAACATGCTGGTATGGGCGCTGTACCTCCAGGAGCTGGCGGATGTCAGCTTCAGCACCGACATCTCCAGGGCCGTCGTGGCAGCTCCTGTGGCTGCC